ACATAAAGTGGTGTTCTGGTAGGGCCAGAAGCAATTTAAAGACAGAATCCTGGGCAGTGTGATATTGAGGAGGCATGCTCAGGTTGCCATGGCATCCCAGAGGAGGGGGGCAAAAGCTGTCTAAAGGGGTGATGAATTTTGAAGGATAAGAGGCATTGAAGGGGCTTGGGACCAGTGGGACATTTCAGGATTGGACAGCAAGTGAGCTGCACTTATTGTAATTAATAGGCCTAAAAAGAGGATTGACATTTTCTCAGTAGTGCCTGGGAGCAAGGTCCCTGATATCTACGGAGAGCATGCATCCAGTTTTAAACATTCAGCTCCTTTGTCACCAAAAGGTGGGAGCACCTTGAGAGACGAAAGATCGTCCTCCGGGAAATGAGGTAATAAAGCCAATATTTGAACAGTAATTGAATGTACAAGATGCTGGAGTCTGTATGAGTGGTTTAGGTGGCTGATTTATTCTGCACAAAGCATTTGCCCTAATTGCAAAACCAAAGGCAGTATTAACTCCTATAAGCAAGGGATCTAAAAAGGTTTCGGTTCTGCCTGTGCCTGCCTCTCCCAGGCGACTCTCCTACCCAATAGTCCATTGTCTTTTGAGACAGTTGCTGTTCATCTGTGTTTTCCTCCCATGCTTGGCTGGGACTTTACAGCTGTCCCTTTCACAGGATACTTCAATGATCAGGTCATCCCTGGTATGAACAAGCAGAAGGCACTCACAATCCCAAACGCTGCACCTTAGAAAACCACCTTCCTGTTCCTTGCTGAAGAGGCCTCCACCCCGCACAAAGCTCCAATGTCCCCCAATACTGCTTTAAGCCACAACCTTGTTTGTTCTTGTGAGCTGCACCTCTTAGTTTCCATGTTCAGCATTGCCTGGTCCTGGATTTTGCCCTGGTGAACCAGTTAGGGGATGAGCCTCCTCAATGGCATCTCTGTCTCCTTGTCTCTCAGGCATTGCTGAGAACCACGGACTATGTCTTGAAGTCACTTGCAACTCATATGCCTGCTGCATTTCACCCATTCTAAGGCATTGTTAATTGCAACGTGCGTTGTTATTATTTCATCTTCATTAAGAAAGTGATTCATTTGGGGTTGGACAACAGATCTTCCCTTAACTACACAAATTATGCCCCATATTCTTCCTGGGATGGGTCCCATATCCAGCTCTGAATCCTGTTCTTAGTTCTTTAGATTTAGTTGGCTGGTTTCTACAAACTCACAAGAGAAATAATTAAAAAAAATTTTTTTCAACTAGTCATTTTATAAGCATAGAATACATATGTATTAGATTATAAAAATATGAAAAAGAAAAACCTAATAATAAAAAATAATAATAACTGCAGAGTGTCTATCCATGGAATTTATTTCATTTTATTACATAAATGATCAAAGAACATGGTATGCACTCTATAATTTCCAGAAGTCAATAAAAGGATAAAGAGGATTTACTGAGGTTTTATAAGGCCCAATATGACTAACTTGGTAAATGATTTTAGGGCCTTTAAAGGTCTATTTTATCCTTAAAGTTACAGAGATCGATATTTATCTTTTGGGAAAAGTATATTAGTTATATTTTGAGTGTGGGTTTTTATTTGGACTATAGAGATAATAGCATCCCTACCTCATAAGGTTGTTTTAAAGACTAAATATGTTAATATGTGAAAAGACCTCAGAATAGTCCCTGCACACAGCGAGCACCCCTAAAATGTTGGTGGTTATCTTCATCATTGGTTTTAATATTCTTAGATGCTAGATATTCATATTGGCATTTTTCTGTCAAGACATGATAGAAGTATGTTTAAGCTTTTCTAATTTTATTCTGTTAGCTTATTCCTGAATTTCCAATAGATTTTGCTGCATATAATCTGAAATTCATAATTCTGTGATTATTGTGGCTCTCTGGATCAATTAAAAAGTTTTACACTTTTAACAAATCAAATTTTGACATTAAAAATGATGATTTTTTGCTTTTGGGCCATAATAACCTGACATTCTTTGCCCACTTTTTCATGTTCAACCAGAATCATATTGCTAGCATGTCCACACAAACAGTAAAATTTAAGGTTTTCCCCTAGGCATAGAGTCTTATAACATAAGAAGGCAATACTGACACTCTCTTCTTCTTTTTTTTTTTTTTAGTTGTAGTTAGAGGATTACCTTTTTATTTTACCTGTTTATTTCTATCCAGTGCTTAGGATTGAACCCAGGGCCTCGCATGTGCTAGGCGAGCACTCTACCACTGAGCCACAACCCCAGCCCCTAATACCTACTTCTTTCCCAGTGAAATTAGTACTTTTTTTTCTACTCTTCTTCTAATTAGTACTTTTTTTTTTTTTTTTTTTTACTCTTCTTCTCTGCTATCTTTGAGGGGAGAAATCTAGTATTTTGTGCCTAGCATACTAATCAAAATTTTTTTTTTTACTTTTACATTATGCACATTTTCTTTCCACTTGTGCCATTAGATTGTTTTACAGCCATCATTAACTTAATTACTTAGCACTAGATGAATATGTAACAGGAGGTACTGTTCATAACTAGCTCACTGGTGTTCTCTCTGCCCCAGCAGCCAGCATGCTCCAGGGAAAATGCAGTGTTGACAGGTGGAAACACCTGGATGATTATGCTGAGACAGGCAGGAATGTGGGTGGTGGGGGTTGAGGGGGGGAGGCTCTCACCTTCTCAGAAACAACCTGTGCTAAGAAGCAGGAGGGAACCAGCATCCTGTGCTGATCCTGTGCTGACTGCATCTCTCCAAAGCTCTTGCCCAGTGCCACCTCCATTAACCCTCACCCCAGGATCCACAGCCCAACACTTCAGATAAGGAAAAGAGGTCAAGAGCTGGGCTGAAAGTCCTCCCAGCAGTTAGCAGAGGACATAGGTGGTGGGGGTGGGAGTGTTGTACAGAGCCTCCATCTTCTGTCCACCACACAGGGTTGGACTGAGCAGGGCCAGGGAACACTGAGTGGCAGCCATTCCTGGCTTATTCAGCCCTCAGCGGGATGGGAGTAGGTGAGAGGAGGAGAAATGCAGAGTCTGAGCTAGCCTGTCCTCCCTCTTGTCCATCTGCACACTGCTGGGATCAGGCCGCTGAATGAACTCAAAGCACAATCAACCACTTTTATGGTGGCTGGTGGGGAAGTCACCTGACTGGGCGGGTTTGTTTACTGGAGAATTCAGGGAGTTAGGGACCCCTCCCCTCACCCTCTCCAGGGACCAAAGGAAGTTTAATGGACATGGAGATCTGTGAAGGACCCCAAAACTGGTGAACAACATTGGACCAGAGTAAATCTGAGGATGAGTTCTGGGTGCCATCA